TTACTGGCTATTTAAGGAGAACCGGAAAGGCAACCCACATGTGGTAAAAAAAAGCCACTGATCTGGTCTAATCCTTCTGCTCACTTTCTGTTCACAACAGGAATTATTGGATTAAACCACCAAAGAGGAGGAACTGGAGTAAAGGAATTGTCAAACCGATGAATGTAGATTGTAACGGTGTGTTTTTGCCAGTTGCACTACTTACAAAGAACTCCACATTGCATGATTTGGCTTGGCCTGCAGCTCCAGGAGTGAATCGCCACAATGTCTCAAGGTGATTGAAGAGTGTCCCGTCTGTACACAGAGCCTGAAACACATGTACACACTTCAGACAGTCGGCCCCAGACAGCTTAATTGGCCAATATGTAAGCTGATCCTATGATACATGGACATGAAGGCTTAAGACAGATTTACCCTTGTTAAATGAGTATCACTTAATCTAATGAAATCTAGTTCCAAATCACTACCTCTTTGTTAAAACAAGAAGGATGTCTTCCATTCACAATTGAAATGGCTTTCTAATTTCTAAATAGACTCACTCGGACTTGGTGGTTTGGGATGACTGTGACCTCAGAGGTGTAGCGTTCCACGATCGGGGGGAACCCGATTTCAAGTTGAGCTTGCATGTCCCCGTTCCGCCCCCTTGTGACCTTTGACTTCTTGCACCAAGGCACAAACTGCTGGTACTGGTCCACACTGGCAACAATGTTGTACATCTGCTCGGGTGAGTAACTGGAGGGAAAATGAACTAGCGTTACCAAGTTGAAGTTGGATTAAAAGTGACGATTTTCTGGTTTTATATCTAGTGATGTGTAGTGTACGTACCCAATGCTTCGGCTCTCTAAGTACTCCATTCTCCGTGTTATGAGGGGAACTGATAAGTTAATGAAGCTCCGGGTGGGCACCACTTGAGAAGGAGCTGAAGGAGGAGGTAAACTCACCCGTCCTGCTGCTAAGATGCCACATGAGCTCAAATGTCTACAGAAGAAACAAACAGTTATTCACTTAACAAAATTAGAAAACATTGTCATATGTGTCTAAAGGTGTGCACCATGCAACTTGCATGTTGACAGGTTTGTTCTCTACAAATACCTTGTGACGCAGTGTTTTAAGAAATGTCTGTGTTGACCCGGTAAAATGACGAACATTCTGGTAAATACTATAGTAAAGAATAGACGATCAATGGTAACCCTGTAAGGCCAGCAGCGCGCGCACTGGAACTGCATTATTTAAAAGATGAACGCGCTTCGCGATGTTTTGAACGATCTGAAAAATAAATCCTTCAGTTCTTTCAAAAGGCAAAATGTATATACTGGATGAAAGCTATGATATATTTACGATAAAGCACCAGGAATATATGACAGAAATACTATCGTTTTTTTCTTCTGGTAGGCCTACACTTGGTACTTTTCCCTCACCGCACTTTCAGTTTCACCGTCTCGTGACTTCTCACTCCCCCGCGAGTTATTTTACAACAGTACTATAGCTACTCTTCTGCTTTGTTCAACATTCCCACTCACAATTGAGAACAATTTACAACATACTCGCCCAATTCAACTGGTTTTCACCACGGCAACCATTTTAAATAAACACAAGATTATTTTTTTAAACTATGTTGTAACAAACTAAATGAATCTGGGCAATTTTCTGTTACATTACGCGTCCAGATATTTCTTGATAATAAATAATCAAATTTTGTGTGTATATACATACAAAGTTTTTACATTGCAGTTAACATAGTATTGTACAAGTTGAGTGATGCGCTTTTACCTGAGGGAGCAGCTGTTTCTCCTCATGACATCGCACGATAGTCTTTCCGACATCTCTAGGGTCCGGAGTAAAAGCGAAGTGGCCTTTTTTGCCATTTGTGCTATTCGAAGCTTGTGAAATTACTGAAACTATTCGAAAAGTGCTCTGCGCAATGCTAACTGTGTCGATGGCTGTATTAACAGGCGGCTCCGCTGTAACTGAACGAAAGTGGAGCGGTTTACTATAAAGGGCAGAGCTGTAGAGTGACGCATGAGAGGGGAGGAGTGGAGACTCCCGCAGGTACATGAAGTCATTCACCTTCAGGGGTTTCACTCTGGCGAGTCGGCTGTCTGGAACTGGCTTTGGGACAGTGGTTCTCAGACTTTTTGACTCTAAAGCCCTCAGTTGTTCACAACAACATTTGCCCTCATGACATTTCGGTTTTTTATGATTTAGCCTACTAGATTAAAGATAAAGATGTTTAAAAATGTAACATTTTCTACACACTATATTTTAGAGCTTAGTGTAACTAGAAAAAAAATATAGGCCTAATAAAATGTATAAAAATGCCCATGGAGTTATGAGATCTGGAAATTACACAATTAAAAATCAAACTCATAGTAGTAGACTACTAGTAGTACAGGTTTTCCAAGATTATGCTAGAAACCAGATGTTGAGTGAGTGAACAAACAAAATTTTTCGATATGACTCGCCCAATATATTAAAAGGAAACCCTTGTGAAAAAGAAGTTTGTTCAAGTGTGCTATTACTTCTTTTAAACTATATATACTTTTAAAAATAAGAAAGTATAGGCTACTTTCAGTCTACTTTTTATGTACTTCTCAGAAACTTTTTTTGTTTAAAATGTTGCCTTTATTTATGAAACTTGCCAACATTCAAGTTTTGATAAAAAAGTGAAGCTAATAAAATGTTTTTAAAATTAAAGTACATTTAAAGGTATTTTTCCAAATGTAAAAAATAACATTTGAACATAGTAGTATAGGCCTATAAAAATAGATCTAAAATAATATGTAAATAGTAAACTACAAGTATGATATTAAGTTCACTTAAAGAAAACGCGTATAAAACTTTAACTTCATGTAGTATACCTCAAAGTGTACTTTCATAAAATAAAAATTTGCTACAACTATTAAAATAGTAAACTATTAGTATACCCATAAGTTGACTTTCAGTACAAATGAGAAACATAATTATGAACTAGTTGTGCACTTAATGTTTATTTATTTATTTATACATTTATTTGACAGGGACAGTGTACATTAATTAGAATTGCTGCAAATGCACCAGAATTAGCCAAAATGCATACAAGGCTAAAATAGTACAAAAGTTAAAAGTTTACTACTAGTAGATATTGACATTTTATACTTGCATAATTATAATTAAAAATATACTTGAACGTTACTTATAAAACGGTTAGTTCGAATCCTTGATTCTGATTGGTCAAGAGCTGTGCTTTATTCACGATAAAAAACACGGCTATGACCGCTTCACCCAACGGTTCTATGATATTGAGCGCAACACTGCGGTTCTATGTTGTTTTTATTTGAGCTTTCATGCATTTTACACATTGGAACGTTGTTGCTGTTTTAATCTCAGGGACTATTTTTTCTAGCGGAAGGAAGGCTTTTAGTGATTTTACTTCAAGAAAGTTGCACTAATGCATTGTTTTTTACTTTAATATTGTGTGGCAACCGTTTCATAAAAGCAATAAGGATACAGCACAGCCTCTCGTACCTTATTGCTTACTTAAGTATACTTCATAAAAAGAACTTGAAGTATACTTCTTTTTCATAGGGGAAGGCAATCATAGTTTCCATTTCTTGCTGACTTTAAATAATTTTAAGTCGTCTTGAGGCCCCTTTGGAAGTTTGCTGTTTGAGAATCACTGCTTTATGGCGAGCGGAGAACAAATGGCATCCTACAACAACAGTCTCCTTTCCCCAGAATTGTTTTTGTTATGTTTCATAAGTAAATACTTGACAAAATGTGACTTGCCCTGAACATTAAATTAAATGATTTTCATTTTTTGTATGTGATATTTTCCATCAAATATGTTTTACAGAGAACATGGGCCATAACCTGTCTAGAACAGAGGCAACAGGATCTAAACGACTGGAGGGGAGGAATCATGCACTTCTGCCTCAGCCTGACCCATCATGTCATTAACCCATGAAGTGGAACAGAAATAATCCTGATAAAGCAGATTCAGTTAGTCACCGTCTTTGGAATTAAGGTAACGTCACAGAAAGGCTTAAATGTTAACTTTTCAGTTGGTACAGGATTGCAAAGTGCAACTGATTTGTGTTGTGTAATAACTAGAACGTCAGACATGACGTTGCAAGAATGATCTTGATGTAGAGAATTTGGTCTCTCAGAGTCAGATCAGAGTCCACAATTTCAGATGAGTTGGCGCTGTGGTACACATGGCAAAGACAGTCAGTGATATTTGTACTTAATCAATGCTGAGAGGAACAGTGTGTGCATGTGATAGAAAGAGTTAGTACTGAATGCTTTATACACATAGTCATTATAACTATTGAAACTGAAATATATTATGACCTTAAACAAAAGGGTCACTTCTTTGATTTATTTCAAACCCATGAACTATTCCCAACTATTCTCAATGGCTGATCCTTGCATTAAGTGGCTTAAGATGGTTATGTGACTGTCCCACCAAAACCGATCTCTCGTGTTAGATCTAATCCCATTCTACAGTCCCAGATCAGAGTCCCTAAGGAAGATTGGATATAGTTAGGATACTCTGGCATGGTAGTTTGCAAAGTATCACACAATGTTTTCATAACTGACTTCGCTTAGGTTAAGGAGCTATTTCAAATACTATCTATCTATCTATCTATCTCTCTATCTATCTCTATCTATCTATCTATCTCTCTCTCTATATATATATATATATATATATATATATAAAAACAATGAGAATATAGGTGAAAGGCTTCTGTGAGCCTGTGATATGTTGGGCATCAGTGACGTCTGCATGTGACGATCAAGATTAGTGTCCTTGAATGATACGCTCACATTATAGAGAAAAATATTGACCTTGACTCGCTGTTCTCTTATTCTAGTAAACAAAAGATGTGGAACACTAACGGTTTTAGGTGAGCGGAAAAGACGGTGCTGAACTCTGTACAGAATTTCAACTCAAGGGCTGAGGCTTAGAGAAGAACACAGACTAGTAGACAAAATACCCAAATCTTTTATTTTCACTGGCACTGTTGTACATATCACCGTTATTCAGAGTAGTGATTCAAGCTTAAAGTGCCAGCAGAAACACTTCAGTTTCAATTGAATGCTTAATATATCAAAACTTTTAAATTGTAAATTTACTGTTTTTTTTTTTATAGTTGAGGGCTTTATAAAAAAATGAGTACAGGATGTATTAGGATCATATCTTTGGATCTGGATCAGGTGCAGAGAAGATGAGTTTGCTCATTGCCCGGATGTACTGAGAGCCATCCATGGAGGTGAGTTTCAGGCTGCTCATGGGTAGTAGGGCTCTGTTAGTGTAATATCTGAGGAATGGAGTTGGTGCTTCAATTGCCTCCAGATATACCTAAATGTAGAATTAAGAGCAGGATGGAATATGTTAAAATAGTCATGGCAATATATTTGTATAGAATATCTCATAAAACAATGTGTAAATAGCTAATATATAGGATAAAATGGGGGAAGATACTCCCCAATTCACATTTACTTTTAAATTGGGACATATTTAGATATAGCCTGTACATATCGATGATGCATCAGCCAGTGTGTTATTAAGGAAAATAAATGGAAACTATTTAGTTGTTATAGCACAAAATGCAAAATTAATCAAAAAGGCGGATTTAATACACACACAGAGAGAGATTTTCCAGACACAATATTAGATCAATAACCTCAAACCTGATTCGACAGACTAAATCTCAATTATGTTGATATTCAGATAAAATAATAATTATATGTATATTATTATTATTATTGTAAAAAGGGCCCCAAAGGATTTCAGTATATTTACTTTATTATATTACTTTAAGATAATATTATTATTGCATTTTCCTCTTATTGCTAGGCCAATTGTTCATTACTTATAGACCTTTTTTTCTTAGTGTAAGCTTTGAAATATTTATTTAGCTCTGTCAGTTCTTTTGACTGTCTAAATCCGACACGGTCCTTCACCCTCACTCAGAGGTTGACGGCTTTCTGCCAGTGCTGAATGTGGCACCTGTATGATGTCATCAGTATCCTGAGCCTCATTCTGGAACACAGACTGGCAGTGCTGCAGGTACTGATCATACAGGCTGCGTGTGTGCGCGTCAACCTCCAGCGCCTCATCGCTGGCCTCAGTCCTCTTCAGGTTCATCAGGAAGTCTGTGTTGACTGGTCCACATTCAATCAGGCTCACACTGCAGCACGGGAGATGGAATATATAGATGCCTAAGCCATTTATCTGAAGAATATTTATAGGGAAAATGTTCTGTTTGGTTATACAAGCACATTGTATAGTTATTTACTCACTGGATATTGAAGTTCTGGAGTAGAATAGCCAGGCTCTCACAAGCGCCCTCTACTGCAAATTTGCTCGCACAGTAGACCTCATTGAATGGTAAACCTGAGTTGCAGACAGAGAACATAAATGGTGATTTAATTTATTTAACCCCATTCGCAAGTTTTAGGGTTGTTGCAAGCAAAAACATCTGACGGGATCTAAGCTTAAAACAAGAAAAAAGTATTTTCCTGATCATGTAAGAAAAATAAACACACCAAGAGAGATTCTCTGAAAATTATTTTACACAGTTTTGCTTCTTAGGAGGATGTTGCCTCCTTTGGCATGCTCAGTTGGGGTTTAAAATACAAATGTTCAGTAATATTATCACCTGCACTGACACTGTCAGATGTGAACAAAATTTGAACTGAAATCACCTGGATAATGACACCAACTTTGAAACCTTGATGCTGTTATTGAACTGAATTTTGCTGGACTTATATCTGAATTGAACTTGTTTCATAATTTATGAATTCTCCAACATTAGCAACACTGTGTCAAAGCAGCTTCACAGTAATAAACTGTTGGAAAACAACAATCTGTATTATACAAAGTGCTATATAAATAAACATGAAATTCAGAAATGGAAAAACAAAGAAAAATCACTTTTGCAATGACCCAGCAAACAAATTTAGGTTCTGGGAACGTTAGTTTTTGGTTCCCAGAACGTTCCAAGAACTTTCCCTTAAGGTTAAGGGAACGTTCACGGAACATTCTCCTTACGTTATAAAAATGGAACCCAAAAATAACCTACATGGAACGTTCCTATAATGTTCTTGTTTGGTTCCCAAAAAAATAACCTCATGGGACCATTCAGGAACGTTTTGTTTTTGAAAAATCTCACTTTCTCCTATCTCCATCCCCACTCACCTTGTAGTCCTCCCATGCTGCCTGTCACAAGGATTCGTCCATGTCTCTTTCTCTTCATGTCCGGTAGGAAGGTCTGTATGGTGCGAAGTGTGCCCAGCAGATTGATGTCCAGGATTTCACGTATAGTGTCCAGCGAGTGAGCTTCCAGAGGGCCCATCAGACCTACACCTGCATTACAAACTAACACAAAGGTATTAGGAGGAAATCATTTATCCCAAAGAATTTGGTTAAAACATGGTTTAGGTTATATAAACCCCATGTAAGCACAGTGGATATAAAGAATGCCTATTCATGTGGACTTTTAACCTTAATCTTTCTACACACCTTTTCCCTTTGAAAGGGCATAATGTCTTGCGTTCTCTTACCCAGTATGTCAATTCTGCCCTCTGTAACATTTCTTTTGGCATCGAGTATAGACTGCTGATCTGTCACATCCATCTGTAGAATGGCCATAGTGTCTTTATGCAGTCCTCTCACACTCTCCAACAGCCGTTGCTTCTTGTCCAGGTTCCGCATGGTAGCGTAAACTAAACAACGTCAATAATCAATCGTACTTTTTTTAAATAATGATTGTAACTATATATAAAGCTCTCTTTCCACTAACGCTAACAGTCATTTTTAGACATACTTGTCAGTATAAACTATAAGTAAATAGAACCACAGAAATGCATTGTTTTATCAGTTACCTTTGTAGACTTTTGATGGATTTGATGCGAGATGCACAGCAAGACTGAGCCCAATCCCTGAAGAGCATCCAGTAATGAGAACAACTTTCTGCTCCATTTGTGCAATAAAACATCAGTCCGCAACACCAGAGATGAGCACTGCATTTGAAGTGGTCCGTTTAACTGCTTTGTCTCTGATTTAAATGTTTTAGCTTTCTCCGTTATCACAAGGACAGCTTGGTGTAAACATTCTGGTTTCACACTCTTTTTTTTTTTTACTTTTGCTCAGCAGGTGCAACTTTGAATTGACGCATACCCCTATATGTCCCCAGTTGGGGTAAGTATTGAATAACTTTTTTTAAATGTTAAATTTATGATGGGTTGGAATCAATCAATTATAGATCTTAGATATTTCCAATCATACCATCAATGTATTAACCCTTTTAAGGTAAATTATATTAACCTTAGGTAGGATTTTTTTTTCCTTTGTGCTTTTATTGCTCTTCGGACATGAAAAAAAAAATGGCACAATTTTTCAGAGATTTTCAGATGGCCACTTGAGTGGACAGCATGCGTTTAGACATTAGATACTGTATTAAACAAATATAATACAGTAATAATATTGTGTGTATTTAACAGTCAATAAAATTATTTAAAATCATGTGAAAACTCAAATATAAACAAAAAATACAAATGTGAAATATTGCAAATGTAAGTTTACTTCATACAAGTTGAACTTTGCGTATCTTTGATATCAGAACATAAGGATGTGATTTCATCAGAGATCTCTATAGCCTGTCAAAGTGGAAATGTGCTCCAGTGTACCATAGTATGTCAATTTACCCTTCTTGTCTGATAATCTGATTATGTGAAGATTATCAAGCGATGGACACATTTCTAACATCAGGTGTTTTCAATCGCATTACTGGTAATGCATTACAAGTAACATGCATAACGCGATCAGATTACCTTTTTGATGTTACGAGTGAAGTAATGCATTTGTAACGTGCATTACGGAATCAGATATTTTTAATGATCAGATTTTTAATGGTGTTTGGTAATAGCTAAATCAATATTTTTACTTATTCATTTATTCAAATCCTTTTTCATAAAGGGAAATTTTCTTGGTGATTTTGACAGCTAAAGATAGATAAAAGAGAAATTAACAGCAATGTAAAAAAGGATTTTTTTGAAGTTGTAAATAAAATTGGAGTAGCCTATGTTTTGCAAGAAAAAATATTTTCAGTTTTTTTACAATTAATGTATTGTGTTACTTGCTGTTTCTCTAATAGACTGTCACATTTCTGAGTGAAAATTGTTTTGCTTTATTTTTTTTAACTGGAAACTGTGTTGATCATCTGTGTGTGTCTGGCTGTTGCATGATGTCATACTTGTCTGTGAAAATACTCACTAGTACCTCTTAAGATAGGAAAATTTAATAAAGTTTATTTTTGGCACATTCTACTTTAGTGTAATATTTTCATTAACATGATTTGTCTTGCAGTCTAGTTTAGGGTGAGATTAATACATTTTTTGCCTTCATAACAAAACAACAACATTTCTTCATTATATCTTCACAATATATTAAAACTCTTACAGTTCTGTACCAGGAACACAAACCACAAAGTTCAGTAAATTGTTTGAAATCTGTTGCACCTTAAAAAGTAGAATGAAGGGTCAAACTGAGTAGCGGGTGAGTGAGTAACATTCAAACTCAGCTGAACTTGTATTAACAAATTAAAAAAAAGTGCATCATGTTTTATATGATCATTTCATATGGTAGCAAGCCTGTTTGAGAAGAGTGTAAAAAAGAGTGCACTTCACTTTACTAAACCACATGACTAACCTTTTAATGAGAAAACATTTCATATTTAATAAAAAAATGAACAATGTTCATTGTCCATTAAAGATAATCATGCTTGTATTATTTACATCGTAACAGTATATACAAATATATACAAATTGAGTACATAAAATACAGTGGTTTATGGTTCATACATAACAAAACAGGACTGTTAGAGCAGCAATATCATTTTAAAAATCCTTGCTCAAAGTTTAAGAGAGTTCTTCTAACTGACACATGACATTAGTCCATAACTTTAATCCACCTCTTCAATAGTTGGTCCCTGGGAAGCGGCCCCTGATCCGCCACGTGCCTGAGCTCCACAGCCTCCAGCTGGCATCCCTCCCTGATAAAGCTTAGTGATGATTGGGTTGCAGACTTTCTCCAGCTCCTTCAGCTGATGTTCATACTCCTCCTTATCAGCCAGCTGGTTGTTCTCTAGCCAACTGATGGCGGCGTTGCATTTCTCAATGACTTTCTTCTTGTCATCCTCGCTGATCTTGCCTTTCAGGTTCTCATCTTCCACACTGCTCTTCATGTTGAAGGCGTACGACTCCAGGGAGTTTTTGGCAGCAATCTTCTCTCTTTGCTGATCATCTTCAGCTTTGTACTTGTCTGCGTCCTGCACCATTCTCTCGATCTCCTCTTTGCTCAGTCTGCCCTTGTCATTGGTGATGGTGATCTTGTTCTCTTTTCCAGTGCTTTTGTCCACCGCTGACACATTCAGGATTCCATTGGCGTCAATGTCAAAGGTCACTTCAATCTGCGGGACACCACGTGGTGCAGGTGGAATTCCTGTGAGCTCAAATTTACCCAGCAGGTTGTTGTCTTTTGTCATGGCCCTCTCTCCCTCATACACCTGGATCAGGACACCAGGCTGGTTGTCTGAGTAGGTGGTGAAGGTCTGGGTCTGTTTGGTGGGGATGGTGGTGTTGCGTTTGATGAGGGCTGTCATGACTCCACCTGCAGTCTCGATGCCCAAAGACAGTGGCGCAACATCCAGCAGCAGCAGGTCCTGGACATTTCCAGATGTGTCACCCATGAGGATGGCGGCTTGCACCGCTGCACCGTAAGCCACTGCCTCATCTGGGTTGATGCTCTTGTTCAAGTCCCTGCCGTTGAAGAAATCCTGCAGGAGCTTCTGGATCTTTGGGATTCTTGTTGATCCACCAACCAGGACGACATCATGAATCTGAGACTTGTCCATCTTGGCGTCTCTCAGGGCTTTCTCCACAGGCTCAAGTGTTCCCCTGAAGAGGTCTGAGCACATCTCTTCAAAGCGTGCTCTGGTGATGGACGTGTAGAAGTCGATGCCCTCGTACAGCGAGTCGATCTCAATGCTGGCCTGAGAGCTGGAGGAGAGGGTTCTCTTGGCTCGCTCACACGCTGTCCGCAGCCTCCTCAGTGCCCTCTTGTTCTGACTGATGTCCTTTTTGTGTTTCCTCTTGAATTCTTCTACAAAGTGATTCACCATGCGGTTGTCAAAGTCCTCGCCACCCAGATGAGTGTCTCCGGCTGTGGCTTTCACCTCAAAGATGCCATCTTCAATGGTCAGGATGGACACGTCAAAGGTGCCTCCACCCAGGTCAAAGATCAGGACGTTGCGTTCTGCTCCTTTGCCTTTGTCAAGGCCGTAGGCGATGGCTGCAGCGGTGGGCTCGTTGATGATTCTGAGGACATTGAGCCCAGCGATCACTCCAGCGTCTTTAGTGGCTTGCCTCTGCGAGTCATTGAAATAGGCAGGAACTGTGATAACTGCATTTGTCACCTTCTGCCCCAGATAAGCTTCAGCAATCTCCTTCATCTTCACCAGGACCATAGAGGAAATTTCTTCAGGATTAAATGTCTTGTTTTCTCCTTTGTATTCGACTTGAACCTTTGGCTTTCCGCTATCACTGATGACTTGGAAGGACCAGTGCTTCATGTCAGACTGCACTACTGGGTCATCAAACTTCCTGCCAATCAGCCTCTTGGCATCAAACACGGTGTTGTTGGGGTTCATGGCCACCTGGTTTTTAGCAGCATCTCCAATGAGCCTCTCAGTGTCAGTGAAGGCAACATAGCTGGGTGTTGTTCTGTTTCCCTGGTCATTGGCGATGATCTCCACTTTTCCATGCTGAAACACCCCCACACAGGAGTAGGTGGTGCCCAGGTCAATTCCAATGGCTACTCCTTTTGCTGATGACATGTTTGGTTTCTAGTAAAATCTAGTAAAACACAAAAGAAGAACAACAATCTTTGTTTTAAATGTATACAAATTGTTGTGCAAAGAAAATAGATCTTGTGCTCATACAGTATAATAGTTACAAAAAGTTTTCTTTAAAGCAAAAAACAGTGCAGTTGCATAAACTGCTTAAACTAGTCTTACAAATTAGTCATCTAAATTTCTTTTTTAAGACTGGACCACGTTTTTTTAAGTTACATAAAATGGCAGATCAGTCTAATATGAATTCAAAATTCAATTAAATCTAGGTAAACTGCAAGTTGGTCAGACTTCTATACAGTCTTAAAGGTGGATACGTTTATGCAACTAGTCCCCTGCTTTTTTTCAGGATAATATAGACTGGCTGCATGTAATAAGATAGTAATATACAAATCTAATATTGAAACATAATAAATTAATGTACATAAGTAGATTCATGAATAAATGCACGAGTAATAGGCTATACTACACAATGCATGTAAATGTAGACTTACCGTAGTAGAGTGATTCTTCAATATTAATTAATTTACACCTCGTCGCGGGAAAAAGTCAATTCAAACTGGGGTTTTATCGCTTGCTTCTGAGTTCGCTCTTCTGATGAATTTCGATTTCTGCCATCCATCCGCTCTTTAAATACACCACAGCTCGCACCCGGTCAAACTCTATACGTTTCTAGAAAAGTCCAGTGAATCGGACCAATCAAAACACAGAAAGCGGGTGCGTCACGTTAGCTGTCATTCTGGCAACTGTTTCTGGACGCTTCCAGAATTGTGCTGTGAAATTTCGCCGAACGGAGAAGGAAATGCAAATGAATTTCAATGAACTATAAAAATATGTCTTAAGCTATCATAGTTGAGTGCTTGATAATTACGTGAAATATGAAAATGTGGCGTTTCTAGTCTGGTCGCTTTATAGACCAAAAAATAAAACGCATTAGCCGGTCGCCCTAAAGTTATTCTAAAACAAGTATTTTATATAAGAGCATAGTGCTGTTAGCTGTTAAATGGTTTAAGTTTGTAAATCGCGTAATGATTGCGGAGCCTGATGAGTCATGGTAATGATGGTAAACATCGCGTAAACAATATCACTCCAAATTGATCTTGTTGTACAAGTTGGTTTTATGTAGGCTACTACATCAGTTTCTAAACTAAATGTCAAGTTATTTGAATAAAACATCTTGTGTTCACTAATTAACCTTTTGAGTAGCCTAAAGCTTCAAGCATTCCCCCCAGGGCAACACGATTGTTATAATAAAACATCAGACATAGGCTATGTTAATGATGGAATAAATAATGTGTATAAAGATCTTGACATATTGTCTCAATTTTACGCATTGGCTTGGCTAATTGTATTACCGTGTAGCCTAATTAACTAGTCTGAAATTCCAAATACAGCTTTAAACAATTGGAACATGCAGCTTTAGTTCGCTGATCCTCCCAGCTTGGTTTTATTTTGCCCTCTGATGCATTTATCCTTGCATTTAGCCTACATAAATTACTTTAGTAGCTTAATTAGATGAACTATGCGTTTGCCATAAATTCAAGTGAAATGAGTGAAAAACGACGCCCTTGGTGCAACAGTGACATCTGTTGACAATAGAGCAGAATGACTACGTGCCACAAAGTCACCAATGTTCCAGAATCATCCCCGCAGTCTTACAGAAATGTAAAACTTATGGTAGGCTACATACAAAGAAATACAAGTAGTGAAAAGCACATATCCCACAAAAATACTTCTGATGTAATGAATTAGTTTGCCTAGACCAAGACATATTCTATGAGACTTTTTGTTTCAATGTAAGTTATTTGATAGTTATCACAGTTATTTTATTGGCAGTTTAATTAAACATCGATTTTAGTTCACACATATAACATTATTGGTTATTTAATTACATTATTTATATTACAAAACTTAAATTTTAATGGCATAATTGAAACAAAAGTTTCTACATGAGTACCATGTAATCAAAGCGTGTTATTTGTACATTACTGCATTTCCGTACTGACTTATAAGTATAAACAGTAAAAACTATTCAGCGTTTACGAGATCACTAAAATGTAAGACTGATACCAACCTATACTGTCTATGGTCCAAATAATATCACAGAACACTCCAGAAATAGCTAGAGCAGGACCTGATGATGCAGCGTACTGGGTGGAGCCATTCCGCTTGGGCTGGTTTTTGATTGGTCGAACTCGCTGGCGCTTTCGAGAAAATTCAACAGGGCTATGTAAGAGAATATAAAACAGGACTGTGGCAGTGCTTCGTTATAAACTTCGGGAATCGGGATATAGTTCGTTCGGAGCACATTAGAAAGAGCGACACAGCAAACGCGTGTCTTTAGACAACGAGCCAGCACAATTACAGCCACAAAATATCTAAATCATAAAAGGTAAGCGGAAAATTAATTTTAAACTACCACTGTTCTTTTTCTATTGAGTTTATATATTTACGACATAAACTTGTAACGTTAAATGTACATCTAGCTTTATATCAGACATGAAATGCTTGCAGTAAATAGGCTAGCTAATGTTTTATTCTATACTCATCTGTATTATGAATGTCAACAAAAATAAGTGATGAAGAGCCACATAATGAATTAATAGCCTACTTAAGAATTGATTTCTTAAGTAGACGTTTTAACAAATAATTATATTTGACTATGTATTATATTTAGTCCTATTATATAATAATAATATTGGTATTATAATTTTTCAAATCGTTGGTGTGAACACAATAAATGTACAAAAATAAAAATGATAAAGTTTTATAGCTGCATAATATTAATATTAATTACATGGTTAAAATGTAGTGGTTTTATGTGGTAATTTTTCCTATTTACTTTGCTTGTTAAAGACAGGTAGACTTTAAAAGAAACCAAACATGTCATCAGCAAAAGGAGTAGCCATTGGAATTGACCTGGGCACCACCTACTCCTGTGTGGGGGTGTTTCAGCATGGAAAAGTGGAGATCATCGCCAATGACCAGGGGAACAGAACAACACCCAGCTATGTTGCCTTCACTGACACTGAGAGGCTCATTGGAGATGCTGCTAAAAACCAGGTGGCCATGAACCCCAACAACACCGTGTTTGATGCCAAGAGGCTGATTGGCAGGAAGTTTGATGACCCAGTAGTGCAGTCTGACATGAAGCACTGGTCCTTCCAAGTCATCAGTGATAGCGGAAAGCCAAAGGTTCAAGTCGAATACAAAGGAGAAAACAAGACGTTTAATCCTGAAGAAATTTCCTCCATGGTCCTGGTGAAGATGAAGGAGATTGCTGAAGCTTATCTGGGGCAGAAGGTGACAAATGCAGTTATCACAGTTCCTGCCTATTTCAATGACTCGCAGAGGCAAGCCACTAAAGACGCTGGAGTGATCGCTGGGCTCAATGTCCTCAGAATCATCAACGAGCCCACCGCTGCAGCCATCGCCTACGGCCTTGACAAAGGCAAAGGAGCAGAACGCAACGTCCTGATCTTTGACCTGGGTGGAGGCACCTTTGACGTGTCCATCCTGACCATTGAAGATGGCATCTTTGAGGTGAAGGCCACAGCCGGAGACACTCATCTGGGTGGCGAGGACTTTGACAACCGCATGGTGAATCACTTTGTAGAAGAATTCAAGAGGAAACACAAAAAGGACATCAGTCAGAACAAGAGGGCACTGAGGAGGCTGCGGACAGCGTGCGAGCGAGCCAAGAGAACCCTCTCCTCCAGCTCTCAGGCCAGCATTGAGATCGACTCGCTGTACGAGGGCATCGACTTCTACACGTCCATCACCAGAGCACGCTTTGAAGAGATGTGCTCAGACCTCTTCAGGGGAACACTTGAGCCTGTGGAGAAAGCCCTGAGAGACGCCAAGATGGACAAGTCTCAGATTCATGACGTCGTCCTGGTTGGTGGATCAACAAGAATCCCAAAGATCCAGAAGCTCCTGCAGGATTTCTTCAACGGCAGGGACTTGAACAAGAGCATCAACCCAGATGAGGCAGTGGCTTACGGTGCAGCGGTGCAAGCCGCCATCCTCATGGGTGACACATCTGGAAATGTCCAGGACCTGCTGCTGCTGGATGTTGCGCCGCTATCTTTGGGCATCGAGACTGCAGGTGGAGTCATGACAGCCCTCATCAAACGCAACACCACCATCCCCACCAAACAGACCCAGACCTTCACCACCTACTCAGACAACCAGCCCGGTGTCCTGATCCAGGTGTATGAGGGAGAGAGGGCCATGACAAAAGACAACAACCTGCTGGGTAAATTTGAGCTCACAGGAATTCCACCTGCACCACGTGGTGTCCCGCAGATTGAAGTGACCTTTGACATTGACGCCAATGGAATCCTGAATGTGTCAGCGGTGGACAAAAGCACTGGAAAAGAGAACAAGATCACCATCACCAATGACAAGGGCAGACTGAGCAAAGAGGAGATCGAGAGAATGGTGCAGGACGCAGACAAGTACAAAGCTGAAGATGATCAGCAAAGAGAGAAGATTGCTGCCAAAAACTCCCTGGAGTCTTACGCGTTCAACATGAAGAGCAGTGTGGAAGATGAGAACCTGAAAGGCAAGATCAGCGAGGATGACAAGAAGAAAGTCATTGAGAAATGCAACGCCGCCATCAGTTGGCTAGAGAACAACCAGCTGGCTGATAAGGAGGAGTATGAACATCAGCTGAAGGAGCTGGAGAAAGTCTGCAACCCAATCATCACTAAGCTTTATCAGGGAGGGATGCCAGCTGGAGGCTGTGGAGCTCAGGCACGTGGCGGATCAGGGGCCGCTTCCCAGGGACCAACTATCGAAGAGGTGGATTAAAACACCTCATGAACTGAATGGTGCATTAAGGAACTGGTATAAATCTTTTCTTTTTGGTTCTTCCATTTTGTTTACAGGCGTTATTACATTTTACATGATTCCCCTAATGCTCACACCTTCCTTCAGTCCAAAAATGATATGTAAACCATCACTGCACGGTATTAGTTTACTCCATCTGCACTCGAAAACATTTTGCTACTAAAATGCTCTGCAACTTGACATTTAGTCAATATTTTTTAACTTCAAAAGTAAGCTTGAAATTTCTAAGAAGTGATTTTACATTATTTTTCATTCATGTTTTCTTACAGTTACATGTTGATAAATGTTGTGGAAAAACTATGTAAATAAAATGTTTCATATTTATTTCAAAAAGTGTTGTTTTTATGTACTCTAAATCTAAACAGTGACCTTATATTTCTTCAAACAACCAGTAGATGGCATTCTCAAACAAGAGTCAGACAGGATCCATGTATTATGGACTATTTGACTACATATATTTACATATACATATAAATAAATGACTACAGGCCATAAAGACTGACTACTTAATAACACTAAAGACCCCCATATTATTACCAGAGCTGAAGGTGCAGATTCACTAATGACTTTGGGCTAAAATCTTTCTACACATTTATGCTGTCGTTCCTGACATAAGCAGTAGAGGTCAGTACATGCTGACTGTAAAACAGACCAACACAAATCTCTCTGTCATATTTCCTGGAAGGCTTTGAACCCAGGCATGAGCACAGCCAAAAAGAGACTATGACATTATCTTTCTCAACTTGAGACTGATCCCTGCCTCATCCAAACACCCTTCCAATACAAATTAACTGGCTTCTT